CCTCCCCCCCCAAAAAAGGACAGGAGCTGCTGATGCAGACCAGCCTCTGTCCACGGCAAGCCCAGGGTGCCACGGACGGAGCCAACTTCACAGCAACCTCCCCTGCCTCTCCCACCCCCGCATTACTGCCGCTGATAGAGGCAGCAGCGCCGGGGGGAGGCAGCTCCACAGAGCTGGTGTTGGGGGGAACCTGCTTCTGGCTGGCCCCTCCTCTCTGCCTCTGTAGGAGGCAGCAAAGGGGGTCAGGTAGGTCCCCAGAGCCAGCACTCATGGGGAAGCTGCTTGAAAGCCTGCTCCCTGTGCGTATGGACTCCAACCTACCCCCCTCATCCTCTGCGCTGCATGTAGTCAACAAGATTAACCCATAAGTCCAGGCTTATTGGTTAATCGTGTAGTTGACTACGCATTGACATCCCTCATCGTCACATGTGGCCAGGTGGAAATAATGGGAGAAGGCACCCAGCAGAGAAGAACGTGGCTGAGGCCGGGTTCTTGCTTAGGCGTGTGAGGAAGATCAGAACAGTGATCCATCAAGCCCAGTGTCCTGTCTTCCAACAGTGGCCAATGCCAGGTGCCCAGAGGGAATAGGCAGAACAGGGAATCATCAGATAATCCCTCCCCTGTTGCCCGTTCCCAGCTTCTGACAAATGGAGCATGATTTTGCATCCCTGTCCGTCCTCACTAATAGCTATTGATGGACTTATCCTCTATGAACTTAGCTAGTTCTTTAGAACATGTTATAGACTTCCCCTTGACAACATCCTCTGGCAGGGAGTTCCACAGGTTGACTGGGTGTTGTCTGAAGAGAGACACCGCTGCTCAGGGAATGCAAAGAGGGAGGTGGGTTATGTTCTGACAGGGATCTAGCTAGGGCATGTTACCGACACGCTATGTCAATACTGCAGCTCGTAAAATAAACTAAAGGGATAACTGGTATTGCAGTCAGTATCAGGGGCACGGAGGGTATGTATTTAAAAACAGGAGACCAAGGATTTATACTACTTAAGCGGGAAACAGAATTGCTCCATGGATAATATGGGATCAAATGTGCTCTTGGTTATCTGGGTCTATCACTGTAACGGCAAAAATCTTGTGTAAAACAGATTCTTTTGTGTGATGCTCAGTTTATACGTTTATAGGGTGACAAGGAAAATTTACCTTTACAGTGTCCCGTCTGTCCTGGCATTTGGCACCCTTTGCTGTGGTACTGTGTGTGGTGCCAATACTTGCTGTGTCTGCCTTAGGGGGTCTCTTAAATGTCTGTTAACCATGGGATGTTTGAGCGGCCTAGAAGCCATATGCAAAGCTCTTTTATCCTTTTCTGGGTGTTCTAGCTTCCTTTGCAGGCATGGGTTCAAATCCTGCTTCTGAACGGTCTCTTTAATGATCAGCAGTTTTTCTAAAAGCAATGCTATAGCTCAAATAGAAGTATATGGGTTTGATGGAAGAATTACTCTATCATACTCTGTGATATGTTAGGTAGGAGGTCAGACTGGACTATCACAATGGTCTTTCTTGGCCTTGAAGTGCATGAGTCAAGTATGCAAGTACCCTACAGATCCAGCAACTCATATGTTGGCTTCTGATCTCTATTATAGACTTTATAAGTACGTTGACTGCTGAAATGGATTCAGACTTGGTTACCATGTCTTTCTATTAGGGATATTAAAAGGCAGTTAACTAGGTAACTGTGTAGCCGTTAACATTTTTTACCCGTTACACACTGTGGGCTCTGCAGTACTAATTTTATACTGCAGAGCAGGGGTGGTCAACCCGTTACAGACAAAGAACCAAAATAGTGGTGGATACAGTGCAAAGAACCAAGGGAAAGAAGTTGTTGGGGGGGGGGGGGCACCCGGAAAGTTGTTGAGCAAAACCCCCCACCCCAAAAAAAACCCCAACGCTGCCCCTTTAAGAGCTGCACGTGGCCCAGACAGGCTTCTGTTGGCCGCAGCGTCAGCTCTCGCTGTCCCAAGCGGCACCCTGACCAGACAAGGAAAAAGGTCAGAGCACGGGAATGCAGAACAGCCGCGGGTGCGAGAGCTGCAATTTTTCCTTTGAAGAGTCGCATGTGGCTCGCAAGCCGCGGGTTGGCCCCCCTTGCTGCAGAGACTGCAGTGCAGCTGGCTTCCAGCCCATACCTGCTCCCACCTACCACCCTGCTTCAGGGAGCTGGTTGCCACCCTGTGTTGCTGTATCTGTGTAAGAGGCTGCTATGCAGGGCAGCAGACGGCTCCTTGGAAGTGGGGCCAGGAGCTCGCAGTGCAGCCATTAAACTCACATGTATCAGGGAAACATTTAACTAGTTAAACTGTTCCATCCCTATTCTCCATATGTGAATACGGAATCTTTTCTGTTGCTTCCTTCTCTTCTTTGATAGTGTG